GGAACCATAATATAGTTTACGAAACCACCAACAGTACCGTACAAGTTGTACGAAACTATTTTACCCCTTACGACACTAACGGCGGTTTCGTAATGTATATACGGAACGATTATAGGTTTCGTACATTGTTTATGAAACCATTATGTAAGACTTACAAAATTGTCAGAAGCTTCGCATAACAAATGCGAAATGTTTTGATATTCTAGAAAGCCGATCATGGTTTTGTTGGTTAGCTAAATGCTCCATTCCATTGCACGACATCAATGATAGTCTCGCAAAATACATTAAGCTTTATCAATTTTCCCATAGAGACTGTTCAAATTCTAGTAAGCGATGACAGGGTCGCTCTGCTTCTCTTGAAAGCATATGCCATAATGAATACCATCGAAAATTTCTTACTTATTCGTTTGGCTAAGAACGTTCCGCTGTTCGCTATAATACTTTAATAGAGAACACTCATCGACACAATAAAGCTTATTAGCGAACATTGGAGGTATAAGAAGGGAATATTGAAGAAGTGTCCATACAAATACATAATGCACAAGCCAGAGAAAAAGATCAGGGTATGGCACAATCAGATGATCATACAGATAATGTCAGGTTTACTTATCGACTCCAGATACTAGTTAACCGAGTGCCGAAAGATAAATTGATAATGTTTAGAGCTCACCGAAATAAGACAAGCACATTTTGGATGTGAGCCTGACTGTGGGTGTACGTTTGAGTGTGGTTTTCATTCTTTGCTTTATCCACACCAATCGTCCACCCACACCCACAATTTTTACTGTTACCCAACCAATGCTTTCTAGACTAGAATTTTCCAAAACATATGCATTTATTCCTTCATCCGATATTTTCACTCGCGTGCTATCATTTATAATATTAAGCACCAACATTGAGTAGTTAATAGATATCTATAAGGAGAATCATCAATTAGGTAATCTAAATTGATGAAGATTACCATGCAGTAGATGATTAATATGTATGAGGATCAGCAATAGGTGAGTCATTTGTATCATCGAGGGCCAACATTAATCTTTGATCTGCGACAGACAAACACACAAACACGTTTTATTTCATATGACCTCCCTTTATTCGAAGGGTAAAAGTCAGATTTTTGCTGAAATTTTTATATTCTTTCGAAAATCCCTTTTGAGGTTTTGTACGAAACCTTAGAAAAACGGAATGTGTAGGGACAGAGAAGATGTCGTGCCCCACATACTCAGTTTAACTATTATTTACAAAGTCTCTTCGTTTTATAATATCTTCTAATTTTTCTGAAAGCCCATTGTGAGGTTTTGTACGAAACCTTAGAAAAACGGAATGTCTAAGGACAGAGAACATGTCGTGCCCCACATACTCAGTATAACTATTGTTTACAAAGTTCCTTCGTTTTATAATATCTTCTTATTTTTCCAAAAACTCATTGTAAGGTTTTCTGCGGAACCCTAAAAAACGGAATGTGTAAAGACAGAGAACATATCGTGCCCTATATAATGAGCATAAGAATTTTTCGTTTGGAACTTTGGATGAGTGTTAACTGATAACATTAGACAAACGTCTTTACTTTTTTTTATGATAGTTTCAACTAGGGGTGGCACTTTAACTTTACTTTAAAAGTTAAAGTTAAAGTGGCACTTTAAACTTTAATTAAAGTTTAAAGTAAAACACTTTAAAACTTTAAACTTTAATTAAAGTAAAAATTTTAGCACTTTAACTTTAACTTTTTCATTAAAGTTAAAGTGTTTGTGTCATGCCGTACTGTAGGGGTACCCTTAGGTCCTCAAGTCCTACTGTTGAAAAAAAATTTTTTTTATACAGGAATAGACTTTTTGAGAAAAAATAAATTTTTTTGGAAACACCCAAAATTTTTGTGAAAAAAATTTTTTTATGCAGAAACTGACTTTTTAAGAAAAAAATTTCGAGTGTTTTCAAAAATTTTTTTTTTCTCAAAAAGCCTGTTTCGGCATTAAAAAAATTTTTTTCGAACAAAATTTTGGGTGTTCCCAAAAAAATTT